GCTGTTATTATGGAATTAACTAGTAGATCGAATATTGCAAAGACATATGACTCATTATCTTTTATTGTACGTAGTATTCATCAAATTTTGTTATTTTACATTTTTTTCTATTGATTATTTGTTTTATCAATTTATTTTAGATATTGATTATTTGTTTTATCAATTTATTTGTTTATTTAAATTTTTACTAATATACGTGTACCTGTCTGAGGGTACACTAGTAATCTTCATGTAGTCTGAAGGCCGAACGAAAACTCCGATCGAATATTCTGGTGGGAGAGGTACCTGCAAAAGGCACTGTGACGCTCAAGTCAGGACAAACACGAATATCGATAGTAATAAAATGAACAGTAACCATACCTCATTTTGTGTGACTTATTTATACTAGTTATAATGGGCCCTACGTGTGGTGGGCCTCCTCTGACATTTACCAAATTAGGCAATACGATGCTCAATGACTAATTATGCCTTAATCATGTGTTTGTCCTTGTTACTCATGATCAATCATTGTTCTATTCACGGTATTAAGCTTTCTCGGCTATTGGCCGAGTCGAGAAGTGTGGAGTGACCTAAACGTGAAAGTCTTGTACAAGGTCGTGCCTTCGGATCTCAGCCCCTGACCGAGCCAAGACGTTCTTGTTATTAATTCGGTTAGGTTACTAGCACGGTCGGGGTCATCACGTCTTGTACGCAAGGGGCCTTGCAGCTTTGGCCATCTCGGCCGCCGAAGCGTCCGAGAGCTGTGGTTCAACAAGTGATATAGAAGTCCTCTTGTGTTTCGGTTGGCTAACATGTCCGAGATCATTGTGCCTTGATAATGCGACCTGTCTCGGTCATCTCGATGGTCGAGATGGTGTGTCACGTGCCATGTCACGTGGTTGACTTGTTCCTCTCAATACACAAGCCCCCTAGCTTTGAGGAACGAAGCGACGTAGAGGGTAGTTGTGTCGTTTCGAACATAACGGTTGGGCATTAAAGGTGAAGAATTTGAAGAGTTGTCTTTTTTGGACCGTTGGATCAGTTTGATCCAATGGTTCCTAGAGATGCGTCGTTTGGTATTCTCGTCCCATGAAGTAGTATAAATAGGTGTGTGGTAGGGACTAATGTGCTCACAAGTTATTCAACTAATCCGAGCCGAGACCGAGATCAAGTTTGCATCCGCGATCGAGACTGAGATAGTCAACCGAGACCAAGAGCAGGTTTTTACAAAGGTACGTGAGTTATACCATGGCAAACATCAGAGGGATGGGAATGCCGTGGTGGTACGGGTTAGTTCTTCTGGGGAAACGAGTGTGGCTTCCTCGTCCGAGACACGGTTGGGATCATCCTCTAAAAGTTCTAGTGATTCTACGTCGGCCTCGAACAAATACAGTTAGGTCATCATCTCGACAGTTCCCCCTATTAGTATTTCAGGCTATGAATGGGTGCATGGAGAGGTTGGTAGTGTATATTTGCGTTATACCAATAGGAATTTCATAGCCTTGTTGGTGTCTGCCGAGAAATTCGTGAATTTCTGATCTGGCGAAGAGCCGTCTCCTATATTCTTTCAGTCGAGCCGAAATGACGGAGGGACGAATCCTGACTTTGTATTTTTGGACCAAGGAACTTGTAAATATCAGTTCTTTTATGTATATGATTACCTGTTTCGAGATCTATGAGTGACCCTCTCGTTTGATGAGTTCTTTACAGGCGTGCTTCGGCTCCTAAACATGGCACCAATGCAACTTCATCCCAATAGTTAGACCGCTATGCAGGCGTTTCGGCAGTTGTGTCAATTTCTCACCATGAAGCCGACACCTCTTCTCTTCCTATTTTTTATTCATCGCGACCAACTGATAAGGCGAAGTAGCTTTCCTTGTTTCGGACGGCCGACTGTTTATTGGAGTCGTACACCTCTTCATATAAGAGGTTTAAAGTAATAGTTAGGTGTTTCATTTAAAATTTGAATTTCAAATGTGATACTTTTTACCTTTATTTGAAGTTATTAAAGTACAATATTTTCTTATAATTATACATGCAGGATAGAGAGTGTTACAATGATATTAATGGTTGCCCATGCTATTTTTTTTCATTAGATTTTTTTTTAGTATTTTACACTTTATTTATAAGTTTCTTTTGAATTATATAATTCTTCACATTTTAAAATGTTCAATTTGGTGTCACCATCTTTTTTGTCCATGGACATAATTCACGTAATGTCTCAAGTTGGTAACTAAGGACTAATTTGTGCTTGCATGACTTCCACTGGCCCAAGCATTATTTTAACACAGACAAAAATGAAATTTCAAAGCACCAAGTCGACTTTTGATGTCCTGAGACATGCCTTACAAGTGGAACTAAATTTGAATGAAAATGGAACATTAAAATTTTTTTTAAAATTAAAAGATCAAATTAAACTTTTTAAAAATAATGAAATTAAATTAAATCCTAAAAATAAATAGAGGTACTAAAAATTTAATTTAACCAAACAATAATTATCAAATAAAATAAAATCACCCCAAACATTTCCTAAATTTCTTAATTATCTTTGAACTTGAATGCCAATGACTAATGACTAATGACAACAATGTAAAATTTCTCTTGTGGACTTTTGTTGCTCACACTCAATTTGATAAATAAAGCAGTGTTACATCAAACTAGAAATTATTAAACTTTGTCTAATCATCAATAAAACATTATTGTTTGGTATAAGGACAAACAAGTCATTGTTCTCCTTTCTTGATAGTCTTGGAGATGTCACCTCCATCTAACATTTTACTCATTAAAAAAAATGACAACAATGTAAATAAGAATTGAGGGGGAAAAAAAAAAGACACTACTTCAAAGTGGGACGCATGTGTCAATTAGCAGCAAGCATATTGACTTTCTTTTTTAAATATATTCAGTACCTTGGTATATATATATTATAACCTTAGCTGACAAAGCTAATTAGGCTAAGTCATAGGTAAGGTTTTATATTTTTAAACAAATTTATTATTGTAGCCCGATCACGAACACTTAAATTGTTGATATACAACAAAAATACTATTTTACTCAAACCTTTTGAATGTATTGTCATTTCGTTTTGCGTTGAATTTTAAATTGTTGTATATTTTTTAAGGTAATCCCAGCTTTTAAATTTCGCATATATATGTAATTATCATTTTAGACTGAATTATTTAGTTTTTTCAATGAAATTAAAAAATAGTTGACATAGAAGTCGCAAGGCACAACATATTTTCAACCATACATATAGCCTCTTTGTTGACAAAATTATTATTTATCACTATAAATTTGGGATCCCAATTGTCATTTCCTTTCTTTATGCAGCGTTTCACGCATGCGAACGTGAAATGCCTGCACGTTCATTGAGGTTAATAAATCAGATTCAGATTATAGACTTTTTTGTTTAAATCAGATTATAGACTTTTGAAGCTCTGAATTTGATACGTGTCGTGTAAATAATGGAAGCTTATTTGTTTTTTTTCCCTCGATATCTTGCCAGTTGGCGATATATATCTCTTCAACTCAATAGGGGAGTTATGATGTAGTATAATATTTGCAGAATGTAACAAAGTAATGACTCTACTAATATCTAAAATATAAGAAATTATTACAACAAATAATACCTAATTCATTAATATCAATAAACATTATTAACTTATTTAGTTTTAATTAATAATATTACAATTTAAAATTTTTTTTAAAAAGACTCAAAGAATTAAATAGTATCAATGATAATTATATTTAATAATATTAGTTATAAATCAAGGAATATTTTTTTTTATTAATGAATAATGGTCTAATAAATATAACTAATTTCACAAAAAATGAATAAGCTACTCCTTAAAAGACTTATAAAATTATCAATTAATACACTTAAACGTATACCTATGTTTATTATAAATAGGAGTATGTTTAGTAGACATTGGACTAAATTTTAAACTATTTTGAGGAACTTATAAGTTACTTTGATTAAAAAAGAAAATATTGGTACATAAAATTACTTAATAGCTTATAGTTAGGTCACTTGAAGTAACTTGTGAAAATAAACTAGCTTATATATAGACTACAAGGTTTTTTTTTTCGTTTTTAATTACCTACATTAATTTATAACTAAACATGTCTCAACTAACTAATTATTTGAAGAAAAAAAATATCTCAAATAACTAAACATGTTTTTTCATGTCATTTTATTTTTATTCACTAATTTTATTAAACACTTTTGATTCTATCGATTAACTTATAAGTTTTCATGTTTTCTACTCTCAACTTAAAGTTTATAACCTTTCATATATGCATCCAATAAATTTTATCAAATATGCATCCTAAGATCAAAATAATAGTCTCGTTTGTTTCTTATATATACAAGAACAAGATAATATTAAGGATTGTATTTTATTTAAATATTATAGTTACTTTGTTTTGTTATTTAAGGAAGTATCCTTTCACATTGGGTCATACATAAAGTAATACTTCTAATTGCAACTCTATACCGAAATTAAATGTCGAACCCTAATTCTTAATTAAGAAACATAAATACTGAAATTTTTTAGTTAAAAACTTTTGATAAATATATTTTGTTTCTAAAATTATATAACAAATTTTACGATAGAAAAGTCGAAACTAAATTACCTTATAAAATATTATCGTATGTGATAAGTTTATTTATTTTTATAATAATTATTTTAATAGATGTTAAGAGTTTAATAACCGTGTACAAAATGTCTAAAACTGTTTTACATTAACTAACTACGTGGTATGATATATACAATTTTTAAATAATTTTTTGAAGTTAAGAAATTTATTATACATAACAAACATTTTTATTAGATGACCGTAAAACTTCTTATATTATTGATACATAAACTATTTTATCAATTTTTAATTAGTTGACTAAGAAATATTTTTAGAAAATTTCAATTTTACGAGGGAGGGACGTGGCTTATAATATTCACGGAGTACTACACCTATAAATCATGAAAACCAAAGTCTAGGAACATTAAAAGCATAGAAGAAGATTGAAGTATCTGAGATCTCTAAAATGGAAGCTAACCCTTTGAAACTAGCTTTCCACCAAGTTCTCACAATTGTTGCATTCATCCTTCTAGCCAAATCCAACATCAGTTCATCTTGCGATTACAATTCTACCACCCCCACAAATTCCACTCAAACCAACACTGATTACACTCCCTCCTATTACGGCAACACAACCATTCCATCAAATTACACTCAAACCTTCAGAAACTACATCATAACCTCTTGCAATTCAACAACATATCCAACAGTATGCTACAGCTCCTTATCCCCCTATGCTTCAGAAATTGAAGCAGATCCTCTGAGGCTATGCAACGTGTCTCTCTCCCTTGCCTTAGAGGCAGCAAATAGAGCATCGTCCGCCATATCAAAGATTCTGAGCACCAACAATTTCCCAGGAATTGCTGAACAAGTGGTGCAAGATTGCCTTGGCAATGTCAAAGATTCCATTGGTGAACTCAAAGATTCCCTTGATGCCATGGGACATTTGGATGGTGTTGATAAAGAGTTTCAGATTAGCAACATAAAGACATGGGTGAGTGCTTCAATCACCAATGATCAAACGTGCTCAGATGGGTTTGATGAGATGAACGTTGATGCCACTTTGAGGGGAAAAATCAGAAAGATTATTTTGGATGTGGCAAGGAAGACTAGCAATGCTTTGTATTTCATCAACAACAACATATACTAATGAAAAAGTGGCTTTTCTTTCTTTCTTTCTTTCTTTCGTATTTTAAATTTTCCGAAAGGGTTTTCTTTTGGCTTTGGTATGTAATTGATGCGTTGATTGTATTTTGTGATCAAGTTACTTTAAAATTTAATTTATGTGCTCAATGTATGGTCATTTTCCTCTGAATCATGCATTAAGCTTGGGGCAGATCCTATATGTTGTACGAAGAAAGGAACGTTGAAGTGAGTTGAAAACCATGCATTAATCATGAAATTATGTGCTCAATGTATGGTATATTTTTCCTTTGAATCAGGAATGTTGGAAATTAATGGCAATATAATTATATTCAGTTATAGTCCAGATTTAATAGATTTTGTAACCTTTTGATAAAGTCAACGTATGATCACATTCTTCTTTGTCTGACATTGAAGCAAAGAAGAAAGCCTCTAAAGCGAAATAACCGGACAATGGAGTCCTATAGTTTTAGTAGAAGCATGGTCATATGACTACAGAGCCATGTTCAAAATTTTGAACATCATTTCGTTAGCGATTTTTCACTTAAATAGCTAACAAAATTAGATGCATGATCAGCTGTTTTTCTTAAATAAATAGTGTTTATTAGTTGGGGAACATATAAAAAATGGCCATTTTGGGTCAATATAAATGCCATGTAGTAGGCTCCCTATACCCTACAAATAGTATTTGCACTTCACTCCTTCACACCCATTCTCAATCAATTTGTGCACTAAATGTGCCATAAAGCACCAACACTTTTCACCGGCAATTGTTGAAAATTTTACATCAAACTAATGATACAATTAAAATAGTATTTATTAGTTAGACACATGTTAGACTTTTAAAAGGAAACTACAATACATAAGTTAAATTTACATTTACAGTAAAGAACAAGTAAAAAAGAGAAATAATATTATAAAATAAATATTAAGATTCTTCATTTGTCAATAATGATTTCTGTAGATGAATATATATATATATATATATATATATATATATATATATAT